ATGGGGCAAAGGGAACCCCACACCCCTGCCCGCCCCCGGCACGGGGAGCGCCCCGCACACCCGTGTCCACCCCAGGGGGAAGCCCCCAGCACCTCCGCCCACCCGGAGGTACCAGGGGGCGGCTCCACATCCCGGGACACCAGGGATCCCCGCTCACCCATCCCACCCGAGGTGCACGAAATCGAAAAAAAAAAAAAAAAAAAAAACCAAAACACCAAAACTAACAAACCCAAAACCCAAACAAAAACCCAGCACCCCTGCAAAAAGTCAGTCACCCACCCGCTCCCGTGTGGGGACTTAAGGTGATCCCGCAGCGGAGTCCCCGCACCACCCCGCGCAGCGCCCCACGTGCGTGGTCTGGCCCGTCCCGCCGCACCCCGTCCACGCACCGGCCTGGCTCTCCAGCTCGCTGTAGTTGGGCTTCTTGCTGGCCGAGAAGTGCTTCTTCACCAGGAAGGAGCGCGGCATCTTGCAGCCCCGGTGCCGCCGCCCGCTGCGGGGCCGCTGCGCCGCCGCCTCCGTTAATATGGGCCCGGGGCCGGGGGGGCGGGGCGGGGGCGGGGCGGGCGGGGCGGGGCCGCCCCCGGGCCCCGGAGCCAATGGGCCGGGCGGGGCGGGCACCCGGCAGGTGTCGGCCCCACGGCTGCCGTGGGGATTGCCCACGGGGCTCCGCTCCCGCGCTGCCTGCCCGGGGCGCCGGCGTGGAAACCCGCTGCCGCCGCCGAACGAACGGTTTCTGGCTTCTCTCCCGAGTGTTTCCCCTTGTGCCGATGCTCCCCGCGGGGACCAGCCATGCGACAGACCCACGGCCTATGCGCCCGAGCCGGGGACACCCGCAGCAGCGGGGCTGGAGGAAGGCGCTGTGTTGGGAGGGTGATGCCCGGGCCCCCCACGCGTGGCTGTCCTTGCTCCTGCCCCACCGCTGCGGATTGCGGTGCAGATAAGGGCAAGACTCCACTGTGCCCCGCTGCTCCAAAGCACTGCTGGGACACAGCCCAGCGTGGGGGGGGAGGATGCTTCGCCACAGGTTATTAATCCTCTGAGAAGAGGCAATGACCTGTGGAGGAGCGGGATGGATCCAGAACAGCTCTTGCTGACTCCCTCCCCCGGGCAGGGGGTCAGGAGCACTTGCCTGGACTTGCTTCTCCCTTCTGCTGGGCAGATTCCAGTCAGCGCAGCCTCCCCTTGCAAGCTGACCACTGGTTTTCTTCCTCCCTGCTTTTCCTTGAATCTTTCCCCACGGGCATTGCAGTAGGGGGGGTCAAACAGCCCCAGTGAGACACATGGTCCCTTTGGCTTTCCGCTCCTCAGGGAACACGTGCCCACGGGAAGGTGCCCAGGCCTTACTAGTGGGTGCTGGGGCAGTGGTGAGCGGAGCTGGAGCAGTCCACCCCCAGTTAAAAAGCTCAGCCTGAGCTTCCAGCTCGCCCCACATCCCTCTGTCTCACGCAGGGATTTTCCCGTTGGAGGAGCTCAGGGCACAGGTCCAGCCACCTGCTACGGGAACCGCGCTCAGCTCCGGGCCAAGGCAGCTGCCGGCAGCGAGCGGCTGCGGGAGGAGGAGGAATGGGACCTGCTAGAAATGCCTCCTCACTCCCGGCCAGTGCCCTGCCCTGCCACTCAGAAAAGGGCCTGTGGTGCCAGGCCACTCGTGACTCAGCCATCGCACACTGCTCCACCAGCCGCCTCTGAGCACACATGACACTTTAGCCACAACCCGCATGAAATGCAGAAGTGGGGAGCAAAGCTTTCCGCTGGCACGGCTGCAGTGAGGGGCTGAGCTCACTGTCAGTCTTTCCTGAGGGCAGGAGCAGCTTGGAAAGCTTGTCCTGCCAGCCACAGCATCCTGAGGAGATGGGACGCTTTTGCAAACTCTTCCCCTGCAGCCACATGCTCTGGAGCTGGATCGGGCCCTCCTTTGCTGCAGAATTGCCAGTGACTTTCAGCAGGTGTTTATCTGCACAACTAACCCCTGAGTCAGCCTGAAGTTCAGGGGAAAATGTGCCCCCAAAGGCCTTGGAGGATCCAAATCACAGAGGCCAGGCCCACCCCATTTCTCACCGGGGGATTCAGAGGTGCAGCACCCCGCAGTGCAGGGGGCAGCAGCCCGGGTGCTGCTGCAGGTGCCACCCCCCGTGCCTTGTTGGTGCCCCCCCTGTGCTCCTCCACCTGTCACGGATGTGGTTACGCTGGGGACACTTGTACGAGGAACACAACTAGGTGGTTTTCTTTCAAGAAGCAAAGCCTGCTCCTCTGTTCTTTTTGAAAACGTTAATAATCAGATCTGTTCCAACCACCGCGCGTGGAAAAAACTTTCATGTGCTAGAGGAAAAAGCGAGATCAAGGGAGAGAATGACCTGAGCTGCCTGTGCCCATGAGCTAGCAAGCTACAGGACAGGTAGCAGGAGAGCAGAGGGGAGGAGAAGCTCTGCAATGATTCACAGGCTGGAAATGTCAGTGGTTTGTCAGCCATCCCACTCTCCACCGCAGCCCTGGGCTCTGGCAGCTGCTGAGCCCCAGGGTGACCAGAGCAGCCCTGCCACACGCCTGTGGTGCAGCTCCAGTCCCAGACCCACACGGACTGACCCAAGGAGCTCACAGGCACACACTAACCACCTTCAGCAAGTCTGCTGCAAATTCTTTTTACCTTCTTTGGCCCCATGGCTACGTGAAGCATTTCAAATATCCTGCAGAGCAAAGCTCCTGCCACCAAGGGAGACTGTGATGGGGTGAAGGGAAGTTCTGGCCATGAGGTGTGGCGGTGAGGTGTGCACCCTCACTGCAAGACCCGAGAAGCTCTGTGAAACCCACCACAGACCCCTGAGCCTGGTGGAGGAGCACCGGGACCAGTACAGGGCCGGGAGGTGCGAGCCTCATTCTCTCCAAAATGCAAGACCTCCCTCTGCTGTCGGCACACGCCGTGCCAGCCACCGCTCCTGCAGCACCCAGAGTGGGTTTATTCCCCCTGTGCTCACGTTATGGAAGGGAAGCTCCAGAAGCTCCACTGTGTTTTTTTTTAAAGCCCAGTGTCTGAGTACTAGGTAAAGATAGAACAAGTGAGAGACCCAAGCCTGTAGCAATGATGCTTACTTTCACTAAGTGCTGAGTATTTTCTGGAGTTTTGGGGAAGGAAACGGAAATTTTCATAGTGGCTTCAACAGTCCTTGTTTATATTACCCAAAGAATAATGTAGTTTACCTATAAAAAATCAGTTGCTTTTCAAGAACGAATCATGGACCAATGCAACTGTGACATGAAGCTCTGTGTTAGAAAAACAAACAAAAAAACACTCTCCAAACAGGCAAGTGCCTGGTTGTCATTTTTAGTATATTTAAACCACAGAAAAGCTTTAGAACTACGAGCACATCCCTCATTTGCTTTTCTGTAATTTAACATAGCCCTTGATATGGTGTGAGAGGTTAATCCTTCTTATGCTGGTTTTACCAGTGACCACCCAGTATAGCTGGCCAAAGGCCTTGAAGCAAATTTGATGTGCCTTTGTCAATCAGGTGACATGAGGACCCAGAATATACTATTAATGCTTTATTATAGATGGGATCCTTTACAAGAGCTCATCCCTCCAGCATAAGAAGACATGGGGCATTTACTGCTGTAATTCCAGATGAAGCAATGCCTTTGTGTTAGGCAATTAATGCTGACAACGATTTACCAGACATATTAAGGCCAGTCTTTGACAGGAGACAGATTAATTAAAAAAAGTAGCTCAGCTGCAAGCTTGTCTCCTCCCATTCTGTTCCTCTCCCTCAGCACTAATTGTCCTCCTAAGGCTGACTCCCTGTGCTAGACAGGGAATTTCACAGGTCCGAGGTGGCCTGATTGCATTATCACCAACAATGGGCACTTGGGATTTGCTGTGGCTACAAGATCAGCTGTTGACGAGGTGAGAGCAGCTCTGGCAGAGTACTTCACTCTTCTGCAGTAACACCCCCGGGATTTAGAAGCCCAAACTAGTTTGTTCTATCATAAGGCTTTTTTTTTTTTTTTTTTTCCCCATCACAGGTTTCTGCACACAAATGAGATGAATCAAGGCTCTGCACAGAACACATGCACCTCACAACAGAATGTGATTTTAAATCAACCAGCAAATATCAGTAAGGTATACCACATGTAAACACATTAGTTAAGTCGATGAGGTCAGCAGCACAGAGACACAAAGCTCTTCAGCAGCTGGGGCAAGTGGAAGCCTGTGGCCAAGTTTATCTCTGAGTGGTTCCATGGATGCTCATTGCAGCACAGAAAGCAGTGCTGTGGGTTCTGCTGTTACCAAACTGGCAGGTGCCAGGACATCGCTTCCAATCCATACACAAATGCAATCAAAGTTAAAGCAGAACCAGCATGCATTTTCCAGTCAGTATTTTTGGTCTGCACCTGTTCTGAAATAATTCCCAACTAATAAATTGATGCAAATCAAACCCAAGTTGTATAGCCAAGGAGTGGGCTGACATACAGTTAGGGTACAATCACTTTGCACAAGAAATTTGACTGGTCTGCTGCAAGCCAGCCTTCACCTCTGCATTTGAAGCGACCTAAACTGAGGACAACACAAGGATGTAAACATCACCAACTTAACAACCAGAAGAGTTAAAGCTAGGGAAGCTGTAAAGCTTTCAACAGAAGAGCCCTGCTGAACAGTCTCACGTTCCCAACTTAACAAGAAACTGGGGGCCGTTTGTTCCAATGGCTTATAGGAGTATTTGCATACAAGGCTGCACCTGCAGTATTCTGGCCAGATCTAGCAGAACTTGAGCCAAACTATTTTTTACAACCTGTGTGGATCCACTGTTTGAAAGATTATGAATAAAGTTGCAACTAATCAGTACAAAATATTTAATGGAAGCCAAAAGCCGAAGTCTCTACATTTCTCAAGGTCTACTGTGCTCCCTGCAGCATTACACAGCCAGCACAGAAGTGTTTTTAGGGAGGTGCTGAAATGAAGTGTACGGACCACAAGGAAGAAATGACAAGGGTTGACATAAAAATAGGATTTTATAAATTAAATGGTCTTTATTTGTAACTTGTTTTCAAAAGTCAAAAACATGACAAAGTAATTGCTCAAAGCTTCTACCTGCTCCTTAAGCATTTTAACAGAATTGCATGGAAGTGCACTTAGAATAGTATCAGAAATCTAGATTCTGGTCAGTGGGTATAACCAAACTGTGTTCTAGCCAGAACCCAGAAATCCCCATCCAACCACTAACCTCTTGTAATCTCTTTGCAGATCAAGCATTAAAAACAACCAACGCCAAACAGAGTACTTTTTCCATAGTACCATGAGATTAATTTCTATCCCCCATGACTGAGCTTCCAGTCACCAAGCAGATACTTAAAGAGGAGTCTGTAAGACCCCATACCACATTGGGGAAAACACACTAAACCCAAGTTCAATGTAAATATGTTAGAGGTCTGGTTGGACACAAAGTTTAATCAAGAGGTTTTAGCTGGGGTGAGTTTCCTTGTTTCAAGGGTGAGGCTATGCTGCAGTTTGCAGAGTGTGATGATACTATTTTTACTGGTCAAATAAATTAATCAGTACTCAATTCTGTGGTGGTGCAGGTCCACTGCTCCAATTAAGCATGCTTAAATTAGACTAGACATCGCAACACTACTGTGATTTACAAATTCTGGTTAGAGGTCTTAGATCGTTAGATTTCAGCATCTTGACTGTGTGGTTAATGAAAACAAACTAAAAAGGAATCTCTATAGTAAAAGCGTAGACTTGAATATAGTGTCCACTCACCATGTAGGGGAACTGCCATCCTGCTTTCTGGTTTATATTTTACTTTTTCTGTGAAAGCTGTACCTGCAATGTTTTTTATGTTTTAGGTTTTTAATGTAATCCCTATACATGTAATATTATATGGAAAACAATCTAAGTACAACTTCAGCTACTTTAGCAACATTTAAATGAAGAACAGGAGTTCAAAATACCTGTTAAAATCTGTAGTGCATAAAGGTAGTGCTATGCAAGTGCTATGAATTATTGGTAAGTTTTGCTACCAGCTTGCTTTGAGAGAGGAGAAAACTAGGAATATATATGAAAACTTTAGTTTAAATAGAAAGCAGAAGTATTGAAAAAAAACTTTCCAAATTCCCCTATCAGCGTGATGCTTAAAGTCACTAGAAAACCAGTTTCAAAACCCACCAATTCAATTATAAAGCCAGCAAATATGATTATTATTTGATAAGACAGTTAAAAAATGATGCATTTTAAAGAAGACCAACATGAAAGTTTATTTTCCAGGCTAGAAATTATGGTCAAAGTATGGAAGAAAGTAATAAATATGCATAGAACAAAAGTATTTTGAACTAGTTGTTTACACAGGTGCAGAGATCTGGTAAGAGAGTTTGTACTTTGAAGACTTGTACTTAAGACATGTTTTCCATATAGTTGAGAGGTTGCTTATAAGAATTTAAACACTGGGAAACATTATGAAATCACAGGCATTATAGGTCACTTTAAATGAGCGCTGGTCTGACAATTACAGTTAGCACCTAGAGGTCTCACTAAAGGAAAAGAGAGCTACAAATACACCTCTCATACTATCATTTCAGATATGTAAATGAGATTGGGAAGAGATGTTTATTAACTAGTTCAAGTCACTCCATTTGGAATGTTTTTTGTTTTTAGACAGTCAAATGAACACAACTGCAAAAGAAACCAAGAAATAGGCATTGTTAAAGGAAAAGATTTGTCTCCTCCATGTTGACCTACAATTAAGCTCTGTGTGAAACAAGTAAGAAAATTAGACCAACAGGGTTGAATGGCATAGACCACGTTAACAGAAGACCAAGTGGTACAGAAATACCAAACCAGGGTTTGAAACTGAGACAAGGATTAAAGTCTTCCATACTTATGGATGCCTGAGTTCATCTTGGTATGTACAGGGAGAAGTGCAAGGATGCTAGGCATTTCCCCCTCATGGAAGTCTGGTTTTACAGTTAATCTTCTAGTTGGTTCATTTATCCCGCAAAGAACGCAACAAAACCTGTGCCATCATATCATCTTCGTCAGCGTCATAATCCTATGAATAAAGGGTACAGAAATTCTTTTACTGCAACAGCCATGCTGGTTAATACAACACCAAATAAGAACAGGAAAAAAGCTGTCTTTTCCTTCGACTTGCCAATAATCCAATTTCTCTACTGATACCATCTGCGTGGATGAGATTTCACAGCAGTGGCTATGTAAAAAAATTTGGGTTTTAGGAGGCACCAGGCTGTATTCCAAGGGTGAGGAAACACATACCACAAAAGTATCATATGAAAAGCGATGTCGTCTTTGAAGGTGCTCCATGAAGTTAGCACTCCTGTAATTTGGATCTCCCCATGGCATTGAGGCACAAATTGGGCAAACCTTCAAGAAAAACCCAAAAAAAGCCAATTAAGACCCAAAGGTTAAGTGCTTTAACATTTACAGTAGGAGGGGCAGGACAGAGACAGCATGGAAGACTAAAGTTCGAGATTTGTAACAATCGCTATTCTATATGCAAAGTGATGTCAAATAGTTTGCTGGAACATTTAATACAACAGCCTCAGATAAGCCTGAATAATTTTAAGTCATGTCTTAGATCTCTGAAATGGAATGGCTTACTCTTCTCCCTGCATTCTGAAAATCAGAATTCACTACAGCTGTTTGCTTTAGAAGATTTCCGCCTTTATTTCTAACAGAAACGTTTCCCTGATCTCCTTTGTAAAGATCATTTCTTTCCAAGACAAAAAAGGCACTTCTTTTCAAAATAATTTGGAATTCCAAAAAACTTTCCAGAAAAATGTAAGTTTCAAATTCTGTTTCATGGTTTGCCTTTCCTCTTATATGAGGGAGCTTCAGCAGATAAAGAATATTAGAATGATATACCATTTTTTTGCAAGCATTTTTCCCGATGTTTTATAATATCTTATTGCTGAAAACAGCAGAGGGGAAAATTAAATGTCTGACTTTCTTTGAAATTACATTTTATTAATTTGATGTTTGTTACTGTGCCTAATGAACTTTTAATGTCTGCCATTTTTCAAATATGAAAGGAGGATGTGACCTAGCTGCAACAGGAATAGAGAGTAGTCATCTACAGAAAAAGTACCGAAAACCAACATCAAAATTATGTAAAAGTTAAATGCATGAACACCATACCCACATTTGACTTTAACAGGAATAATTATAAATATGTACTTAACTTCAAGAGTAAGTCTCTAATTCATTGTTTCAAAGGCTAAGACTAGACTTCATTGCAATTCTTGCACCAAGACTTTTTATTACCACTTGTTTTGCATCCATGCTGTGCAATGTTTTGCAGTGTTCAACTAGTCCTTCTTGATCAAAGTTTTTCTCGCTGCAATACGGACAAGTAAAGGTAAAGCGATTTGGGAAGTTCCTGGTTGGGGAGAGAAAAAGAGGTTATTTATCAATGTAAGAAAGTGGAAAGTAAAAATTTTAGGATACAATACTCAAAAGATGTCTTACCAGCTCTTAAGAATACAAATTATTCAAAGCAGTAATCTTATTCTATGCAATTAAGACAAGATAGTTTAAAATATCAGTTTGTAAATTCCTAACAATAGCTTAAAGAACTCTTAATATCATCCATATTGACACAGAACAATAGTTCTTCTACAAAGTTATAAATGCTATTTATCAACATTTTTTTTTAAAAAAACACACAGGGTACCACCCAGTATGCCACAATGCAGGTGAGTGCACTGCAGCCAATTCTGACTCCCCTTCATTATAAGTTACCACAATCAAGGGACGGAAACATAAAACCTTTATTTAAAATATAACTACTTTTACAGAGTACCCTGACCTTAAAAATGTCTTGTGCATGGACTAAGGAGAAAGCAGACTAGCTTGCTTGTGTACAGACAGTTGCAAGATTAAGGCTCAGCTTTTAACTATGTGAAAGGATTAAAACAATTAACACCCAAACTGACCAAAGAGATAAAGTCTGCTTTTACCTCAATTTTTTTTTTTTTTTTTTTTGGTGATAAAAACCCCAAGTATTTCTGAGAAGAGCTGGTTACCTGGTGTTGTGAAGTGGCTCCTTAGTTACAGCTTTCACACCTTCCATTATATAATTCTGGTACTTTGAACAAGAAGCTGCATGATTACGCATCTTTGAGAGATACATCTGTGCAGGCAACAATTGCATGGCAAGGTTAATTTAAACTATTTGCAGCTACTTCCACACTTTTAAGCAGAAGTAGTAAACAAGTAAACCAAAGCAGCGTTCTGCAGACAGGGTTAAATCAGGAAATCACTTCAGATGGTGAGGCAGAAAGCTTTGAGATTATAGATTAGTTAGTTAACCTGTAACTTTGCTGCCTGTAATATTTTGCAAATACAACACTGCTCAGGACAGCTCATTTTTAATCTGTACTACAGTATTTATATATATAAAAAAAGCTTCATATAAAGCCAGTTTACCTGATCACTGAGAAGAGATAATATGCAAAATAATTTGGCTTTTAGATCTTGGTATAGACTGATTACTAATTGTTCAATCCTATTAATGAAAATTCAAATTTACAGTAAGGAAATCTGTAATTCAAAGAACTAGTTTGCTATCTGCTGGAATGAAGACATGACACAGAAATAAAAAGTGAAATTAACCGAACTGTTACTTTCACCTTAGAGCATCTAATTATCCTTTACTTGTTGTTTTGCCATCTACTAAGATATCTTCTTACACATTCAATTAACACCAAGAAGTCCAATTTTACAAAGAGAAAGAAAATGTCAAGGAAGGGTGTTAACATGCAGGACATTAGGAAACAGTAAGTCTATGGAATATACCACGCAAAAGACAACTTTAACTCATAACTATTTCAAATGAAGCAAAAAAAATTGTATTTAAGAGCCAAAGAGATCACTATCTAAAACCCACATCCACTGTTTTATTACAACATTCCTCCCACAGAGGCACACTCAGAGAAGCAACTTCAGAAGCAATATTTTAGTATAATTTTAAAATCAGTATCTTTCAATTGACATTCAGTTCTTGAAGAGGTAACAATAAAAAACTGTGGAAAGAATGTCAACATTTGGGTGCTACCTATATAAAAAAATCTTCAGCACTTATCACAACAAACACTTTGACCTGATTCTGCAGAAAGCTGAAGAGCAAGCACATTATTTCCCTCTAAGCAGTATGGCCAAGTAGGCACTTAATTCCCAAATACTTTCATACTTTTTTATTGCAGCCATTACAAGTGGTTTCCGTCGTTTCAATTTGCTTTTCCAAGTCCAGAGCTCTGCTACCAGGTGACAGGGTACTGCGGCAGACACCACAAACTGGCTTTTTCGGTTTAAGACATTCCTGCAGGCATGGGGTGCAAAACCTAGGAGAAAACCAGTAAGTGGTGAGAACAGCCCTCCTAGACATGCAGCATAAATATGCAGAGCTCTTCCAAGTCTTCTGCCCTAAGTGACAGCAGAGTCTCAAGAAATGATATCTAAGAAACCAACAGCCTGTTGACACTGGAGCATGAAGGGAGGAATAAGATTCCAGCTCGCCATGCTCAGTGTTACCAGCTTTCAGACAGTGCTCTGCTCTCTCGGTTTCTGCATCTTTCAGGAGGAAATGGAATCGAAAGTGAAAGATTAGCTGCTTTCCCAGCTATTTTTTTTTTTTTTTTACCCTTGGAAGCCCCCGGCCAGCCGTAAGACGCTGCGGGAGCTCAACGCTGTCTTTGGAGCCCCCCCCACCCTCAGCCTGAGCTGACCGACCCCACTGCCCCCAAATCGCACCCCCGCCGCGCAGTGCCGGCCTCGCCCGCCCCTCCCCCGAGGGAAAGAACGGGGAGAGCTACGGGGAGAGCTACGGGCAGCCGAGCGGCAGCTCCCGCCCAGGGCCTCGCAGCCCGGCTCCGGCTCCAGCCCCCGCCCGCCGAGCGGGCCCCGAGCCGCCGCCTCAGGCCCCCCCCCCCCCCCCGCCGCGCCGCCGGCAGCAGCCGCTCACACGTGTCCGCAGGGTACGCGCACCGGGCTCTCGTACACCTCCAGGCACACGGGGCAGGTGAAGCGGGACAGCAGGTCGTGCCGCCGCTCCGGGGAGCGGGAGGAGGACGAGGAGCCGCCGGCGCCGGCCACCGCCATTTTCCCCCCGCCGCGCCCCGCCCCGCCCGCCAACCGGGGAGCGGCGAGTGAGCAGGCGCGACCCCGCCCCCTAGCGCGGAGACCACGCCCACCAGGGGGGCGGAGTCACCACCAATGGGCGTGGTTATGCGTAGTGGGCGTGGCGGCCCGAGGCTGCCCCGCCCCCGGGGAGCCGGTCCCTGCGCGGGGACCCCGCTCCGCACCCACGGACACCCCAGCACTGACTTGGCGAGGGAAGGGCGGCGTAGCTCTTCTCCGCCCCTCCCAAGCCGAGGGATGCAAAAACCGCTTGCAAACGACCGACGGTTTAACGACCTTTGTTGCGGTGCACCTCCCACCGAAGTTAAACGGCCGCCCCGTTTCCCTATTCCGCTCCTTCCCCGAGCCCGGGGGCACTCCCGAGGGCCGGGCCGGGGGGCTGCCCGTGCACCGCAGGCCCCGTGGGTGCGCGGCCACTCGGACCCCCCACCCCCTAGGCGCAACCCCCCCACCCTCACGCGGAACGGCTCGGCATCCCGCCGCAGCGGCGAGAGGGGCCCCGGGCGCTGCCCGCCCACCCCCCGGGCTGCCCCTGTCCGTCGTGGCCCCCCCACACCCCCGGGGGCCCGATCCCGGGGTGGATGTGTGTGTCACTCAGGCCCGCGGAGGCGGTGGCTCCGCCCCCCCGCCCCGCTGACGTCACGCGGCGGAAGCGCTCCCCAGGCTGGAGGCGGTGCCCCGTCCCCCCTCCCCGCCATCCACTTCCGGGGCGCCGCTGTCCGCCGCCCCCTCCCGCTGGCAGCCAGCGGGGCTGGTGCCGGCAGGCTGAGCCGTGAGGGCGGGCGCGCACCGCCGGGCACCGCCGCCGGCCCTTCTGGCGAGGCGGCCTTTGCTGCGACCGTCTGAGGGGCCGAGGGGGGAGGTGGGCCGCAGTCTGCATCCGGGTCACCGGGCGCTTCCGGCTGAGCGGCGGCGGGTCCCGGGCGGCAGGCGCGGCCCGGCGCAGAGCGGTGAGGGACGGGCCCGGCTCCGCGGGGGGGGGGGGGGCTCTGCGGGCCCTCGGCGCAGCGGCTGGGGGGCGGGCGGCGGCGGCCCGGCGGGCGCGGTGCCTCCGTTACCGGCGGGGGGGCTGGGGGAAGCCGCCGCGGGGCCGGCCCCGAGGCTCGGTGGTCAGCGGGCCGGCACTCAGGCTGGGCAAGCGGGTGCGGTGTCCCGGGGCCGCGGCTTCTTGCCCCGGCCCGCTCGCCCGGCCGGGCTGCGCGTCTCGGCAACAAGTGTCCCCGTGAGAGCGAGGGAGTGAAGCGGGGCCAGGCGAGCCTGGATCCGGGTGTTGTTCCCTGCTTCTCCCCTGCTTCGTGGCCTGAAATTCCCCAGCGATGCGGTGTGCTCTTGTGCTGTTAAACAGCCTTTGTTTTCGGGATGATTTTCTTTTCAGATCTTTGGTGAAAGCCCTGGCGTTTTTGGTCTCCTTAGCGTGGGCGAGGAGGAGGTTCTACTTGTCCTGTGTTTCTCCCCTCCTGCCGTAAAGATTTCTGTGACTGTGCCCTGCCAGGCAGGCCAGGGTGGGTAGGGTGGTTGGTTCCCTCGGCTGAGGTTTTGACCCAGGAGATAGAGAAGAAAACGTTTCTACCCCATCAGCTGAATCTCGACTTTGGTCAGAACTTATTATTTGTGCGCTCTATGCAATTTTGTGGTTTTCAGTCAATGGTTTGCAGCAAAACGGCCTTGTTACTTCATCTGTTCCATCAGCCAGTGTGCTTCTTAAAACTATATTTATCTGTGCCTGCTCACATACTGAGGTTTTTAGTGAGTCTCGTAACCATGGTTGTTAGCTGCTCGGAGCCTGCCTGGCACTGGGTGGGCTGCCGGGGACGGGGATGTTTGGTTCTGGAAGCTTTGTGCGCAGAGGAGTGGCTCTGCAAAGGTTTGATGGGGTGTTTGGTTTGTTGTGTTTTGCTTTTTGGCTGTGTGAACCCTAACTTGTGTACAAATTGCAGATCAAAATCGGAGTTGGGAGCGACTTTGAATGTCACCATCCGTAGGGCCTTGATGAAGGACTTTCACTTAGGGACTTTGCTAATCCTGACTTCTCGTACTTGTAACCAAGCACTTCTGTTTAGTAGTTACCAACAGTGGAGGTGGAAGAAATGTAGCACTTAATCCAGCTTTTTGTCAGCACAGGATCATTCCTTGTCCTGTGGGTGTATTACTGATGTGCCAGACAAAGATCTTTCTCTGAAATTCTCTTGTGAAGCCCTTCTTGCTAAGGAACAGGTATTCTGTTGCCTTTGTCCACAGACTTCATCTTGCACAACTTAAAGAAGAAAGATCTCTGTGAGAGAGATTTACTCCTGTCCCTTGTGTTTGGATGTTAATTTAGAACTCCACATTTCCTGCGATTCACAGCTTGTCTCTTGACATCAGTGCAATTTCTGATTGTGGAAAAACTGAGCATGTTGTGTCTTTGAGCAGAAATTGAACTGTGAGTTAACTTCTCCCACATGGTGTTGCATTAAGTGCATCCTTTCATCAAGTAATATTAACTGCTAGGCTATTGGGGTTTTTTGTTTATTTTCCTGGTCTCTTGGGTGTTGGTTTATGGTTCTTCCCCTTTGTGTATTTTGTGTTATGGCTCCATTCATTCAGTTAATTTTGCTGTTAACAGTGATTTTAATTTTAACAGGAGTGTGAGGGGGCATTGATCACTATTCTAGAATCTGCAATTAATATTGGGTGGAAAGTCTTTTCTGAAGTGCTGTTTCAGACTGACTACAACTGAAACAGTGTATTGATTTCTCTTGCCTCTCTTCCCCTTGGTTCACAGCTGGGAAGTCCATAAGGATTGGATTGTGTTTATATTTAAAAACCCAAAGCCTGTGGTCTGCTTTTTGATTGCAAGTTCCTCAGGCAGTTGAGAGAGAGTCTGTTGTCCTGTTAATTACCTTGGTTTTGGTAAAGTAGCATTAGGAAGCTTCTTTTGTCAGCAGCTTTTTCTGTGCAGTATGTGAGCTCAGCGAGGTGAAAATGTAGATCAGTATATACATAAAAGCAACTAACCCTGCAAACAAAGTATAAATGATGTAAAAACAGAAATAATTTTGTTTTAATAAAGCTGCTAAAAATGGCAGGTGTAGCGCTTTTGCTGAAAAGATTACAATCTTTGCAGCTGCCAGCATTCAGCTGAAACTTCAGCTGTAGTTTGCAGCAATCAGGGGAGTGTATTCCCTGTGGGATGGCTGCAGTGCTCTCCCAGCACAGTGAGGTCCTGGGTGTGCTGTCAGGTGGAATGTGAGTGGCAGTCAAAAGCCTAGAAAATGTTAGAAAGAGAAAGGTGAAGTTAATTAATCTTCTCAGTCTAGGGGCACTCCTGTGCCACTAGAGACAAAAAAAAAAAAAAAGTAGATGCTTTCACAGGTTGAGCAAAATGAAACTTCTTTGTGGGATTTTTTTAATCTATCACTGTGCAGAGCAAAATAACCCAAAAAACAACAAAGAAAAACCAAAACAAAACTCAACAGTGACTGATTAAAATAATGTTTAAGTTGTTTGAACTGAAGGGACAAAATAAAACAGAGAGACCCTAAGAACACATGCTTCTCCTCTTGTTTTTTTTTTTTGTTTTTTTTTTTTTTTTTCCTGTGAGTTACTTTTGCCTTGGTGTTCCTTAAGCCAATGAACTCTCAGTTGGGGCTTGAGCCTACACCGGCTTTATTGTATCAGACTCTCAGTGCCTTGCTTGATGTAGGTTTGTTGTGCTGTTTTAGGCAGACAACTGGAAGAGGAGTAGAGAATGACAGTAAAAAACAGGACAACAGCATTTCTGTAGACTCTTGTGCTTTTTCAGAAACCTGAAAAAGACTGTTCTGGGAGCTGCTGCTCTGAACCATTTTATAGAATCCTGTGAAGCTGATAGATACTGTGGACATCTGGGATTTATGCAACTGTGATGACTTGTCTTTGTTTTCAATTTTTATTCCAGAAGAGTTGCCGTTACTGAAGACTCTTAATGCCAGATAATCAACCTACTGCTGAACAACCATGAAAGAGAGGAGGTAGCTGCCCAAGTGTGAGATAAAAACTGATTTCAATGGATACAAAATACAAAGACGATTTATTTAGGAAGTATGTACAGTTCCATGAATGCAAACTGAATGCCTCCGACAACAAGCAGCGTCCTATTAATGATGAGTATTTGCGAGTGGCAGCAGCAGCCTTGCTTTGCCTTCCCAAAATTGATCCCTTTTATAGATTCCGGTTGATAAAATTTTACGACATGGCTGAAAACTCACTGAGATCTGTGAAATCCTCAAGTTTACATTCTCTGCATAATGCATTCAGCATGCTTGAGACAGTTGGAATTAATCTCTTTCTTTACCCTTGGAAAAAGGAGTTCAAAAGTATTAAGGTAAGACATTTTAAGTGTGGCCATAGTGAGAGTATGATTTGGTTTTCTTTCTTTTAACACACTTCATGCATTTCCTTTACAGACTTCTTTTTTTCTACCTATTAGCATGATGGATGTATTTATATACAGTTGGTAAACAGAAGCCAGAGGAAAGTTTCTATGTAAAATAAGTGAAGTTTGTGCTGGTGAGAGTATCCTGAGAGCAGAAGTACAAATACTACCTGCATTTATAATGTAACTATAAAATAGAAGAAAAGCTTATTTAAGGTTTTTGTTCAGCTTACTGTGCTACAGTGTCTTATTTTCTTCTTGGGTAGAAATTACTACCCTTTCACTAGGGCGAGCAATCAAGCTCACTCAAAATTTGATTTTTGTCTTTTGACAGCTATTAATGGAGCACAAGTGTTAATAACCAATGCATGCTTTCAAGTGAATGCTTCGCTGAGGTTCCTACAAGCTATATAATAATGATAAAGGAACTTCTCTGAAAGAATTGTTACCAGAATATCTTTTATCCACTTTTCAGTTCTCAATTCATGAAGTTTTGATTCTAATGTACTTTCAGATTATTTACCTATGCCAGGAACTTGGAGGGAAAAGTAGGAACTTGTATCTTGCTCGGCTTGGGTGCTGGAAGTCAGATAGTGAGTTCTCTA